AATAAACAAATGTTTCTTGAGAAAAGCAAAATGAAGAGTCAAAATAGAGAGCATCGTTAAACTGCATAAAAATTTCAACTCTCTAAATTTAAAGATGGGAGATGCTCTTCTGTAAAATAATGAGGCATATCAACTCTTCTAGAGTTTAATGGCTTCTTTTACCGTACTTCTACTGCTATCATTTTCATTTAACAATTTCTTGACATCACCCATCAAATGTCCTTGTCCTTTATTACCAAGACCTTTGAGGTCTTATTTCTACTCTTCTTAACACTCACGAGATCTCTAATTTCTACTTTTTGACTTCAACTACCTGATAAACCTTTTTTGCTCCTTAATGTCCAATAATTATGCCCATAACATCTTTTCATATTTCCTTCTTGAGGTTGAACATCTTATCTGATGTATAACATGAGGACTGTACAAGGAACCAATTTGTGGACTTCTGGAATATTTTAAAATCAAATTTGGAGCATCAGTGTCTTACTGAAACGTGTAACCTGCATTACTTCGAATTTTGAAGGCTTGAAGAATGACACAATGTCCTTCCCCTTAAACAGGTTGAACAGTTGCACAAAATTTTCAAACTATGTGGATCCCCGCCAGATGATTATTGGAAGAAATCTAAACTTCCTCATGCAACTTTGTTTAAACCGCAACATCCTTATGAGAGCTGTCTTTGGCAGACCTTCAAAGATCTACCAAAAACAGCTGTTACACTGATAGAAACTCTCCTATCTGTGGAACCATACAAGCGGGGGTCTGCATCCTCTGCCCTGGAATCTGAGGTATTCATAAATATTTCCATTCCTTCTCAAAGATTGTGGTTAATGTTGCACTTCTAATCTGAGATGCATAAGCATAACCAAGTTGAATTATTTCATATATATATTTAACGTATTTGATAGGTGTTTTCTAGCTATTTCAGTTGCTACACTTAACAAAAAAAATTGGTAATGAATGCAATATTCTCATGTTTCTATCAGTTATTTACGGATCTTTAACATTCATTTTCTTCATATGCAATCTTTAGTATTTCAAGACAAAGCCTTATGCTTGCGAACCATCAAGCTTGCCGAAGTACCCACCAAGTAAAGAAATCGATATTAAACATCGAGAAGATACGAGCAGGTGGGATCCTGACATTTACTCTATTGGGTTATTTTATTCCCTTGAGATTGAATTTTACTTAACTTGTTCCTGGATTTTCAGGAAAACAACTGGTGGAAGATCCCGACCTGAAACAAGGAAGCCAACCAGAAAACAGAATGGAATCAAACTGGCACCAGAAGAGGTCTATACATACAAGTTTACTGTATACACTTCGATTTGGGATTATTTGCATATTAGAGAGCCTTATAAATAAATTAAATAATGTTTATTTATCTGTTCAGAACTTGCCCATTAAAACTCGAGTCAACTCTAAGATTAATGGCAATGCTGCAAGTATTCACAGTGGGGATAAAGAATTACGTCTGGACCTTGCAAAGCCATTGACAGATGGAACAGAAGAGGCAGCATCCCATGTAAAGAACATATCTCAAGGTGATGATACTTATTTGGGTCCTTTACAAGTTTCAGGATCAAGTGGTTTTGCATGGGCAAGGAGACGGATGCATGATTCATCCGTAAGATCTCGGAGTAGGTCTAGTTCTAGAAGTCTAATTTTTGAACCTTCGGGGATGTTGCATTCAAGAAATAATTTGGATTCACAAGTGGAAGAGAACAATGAAGTTGTAACTGGAAACTGTGCCGATTCTAAAGGTCATGACTCTTGTGAAGCCTTCAAGCATTCAATGCTCAAACAGTGGAGCCAATTAGAACGTCCAGATTCCTTTGATATGTCCGACGAATACCACTCTCAGGAACTGTCAGTTGCACTTTATAATAAAGATGAACGGGCTGCCAAGAGAATCAGTTTGGTAATTACATTAACTTTTTTCGAGTATTAGCATTAATATTTATTTCAGAAAACTATTACGTATTCAGGTTATATAATTTCAATTGAGAAAATAAAACTGAAAAGAAGGAAATTGAACTCGTCCAGTTTCTATCAGTCCTAAACTGTACTAATGCCAAATTTCTAGGTGCTGAAGTACATCTATAACGTTTTTGCATCTTTCTGTGACTGAAGTAGCTCAGTAAGTTGTTGGGAGAAAAATTATTTTTTTGGTTCATATTTACTTAATTGAGAGAATCTTGTTGCTATTATGTCAACTTCAATTTAACAGTAGTAAATGAAGGTAGAATTTTGTGAAGTTAGTTACATGATAAATTTGTATAGCTTGATTTGATCTATCAATGTCACAAAAATGAGTTGTATAGTAAGATTGTGTCGACGATTTATGTATTGTATTTTTTCCTTTGGGGTTTCTTCTTTTCTTCACTCAAAGAAGAAAAGATATTAATTCTTATGCATTATTCATTTCAGCTTCTTTATTTGTTCTAAATGGGACTTGAAACAGGTTTATCAGAATCAGGAGGAGAAGGTTGAATTTTCAGGACCCTTGCTCTCTCAATCAAAAAGAATAGATGATCTCTTAGAAAAACACGAGCGTCACATTCGCCAAGTTGTTCGAAAATCATGGTTCCAAAGAGGTAGGATATTTTTCTTTAGGAAGCTAGCTAGGCAACAAATTACTCTTCTATATGCTTCGCTCGATTTAACTTTGAGCTTATCCGAGCCATTTTACATAATTCTATAAATTTCCAAGACAAAACAATATCTGTTTATGCTGAATAAAATCTGTAATACGCTGCCATCTGATGCTCTCTTTTGAAACACCATGCATAATGCTAACTTGCTCAAGCCATTTGCAACCAGGCAACGGCCTCTTTCTTCTACCACTTTCTGCATGTTATTCGTATCCCCTTTAAGCTGTGAATTTGAATATCAATGTTTTACCTGGTCCTTACACTATATATACTACTTTCAGTTTCTACTAACAATTTGAGCTGGAAACTAAGTAAAATATTCTCTCTTTTTTCCCAACAGAGGAACCTATTGAGTGAAATTTTGTAGATATCCTCGAATTTACTGAACTCCATATAGTTTGTCCGATTTTTAATTGCAAATAACATTATTTTGTTTTTGCAGTCAAGAGAAATGAAAAGTAATTGCATGTAATACTCTATTCAAGTGATTTGCGTGTGGAGATCTTGGCGAGGGGAATTGCGTTCTAGCCAACTCAATAGTCGACAGATTTGCTGATACACAAAGGTGCCTTTGATGAAAAGAATTGAATGAGGACTATGACCAACAAGGTTGAGGGGCCAAACTGATTCACTGAGTCTGATTTAACATCAAACAAGATGATCATAGGGCTGATAATTCTTTTCTTTTTGATAGCCATGAAATTTCAATCATATTTTATTTTACAAATATCCACAATATTTTCTTTACAAGTATCCTTGACATCTTGTTGAATCATTCTCCTAATGTATATGAAATACATGGTAGTACCACAAATCTTCTGGTAATTGTTTCGTGCTTGATTGTTGTTGTAATGTCTCTAATTGTATACACATCTGTAGGCTAAAGCGTAGCTTTTGAGTTTATAACCAATTGGACACTCTCTTACAACTCACTTTTAAAGGTGAGTTATATCCAATGTGATGGTTACAATTGGTATAAGAGCCGGCACCCTTTCGGGGGATAACCATCGTTGGGATGGAGTGACCTAGGGTGGGTTATTTCTAGTAGAAGTCTGGTTTCATGAGGTCACTTAGTTGGGAATATGAATCGTCGTGGATGTCGTTTCTGAAAGATGGGTGCAATTTAATGATCTTAATTGTATTTCACATCGCTCGATTAAGGGTTAGTTTGTGAGTTTATGTCAAATTGAGTGCTCAATTAATTATATGTTTCCAAGTCCCTGTTTGGTGTACATTATCAATCCAAAAATGCATTTTTTGGTTGATGTGATGTGGAATATGTGGTTGAAAAATGAGGAAAAGTTATTGATGTGATGTAAAATATTATTTTATTAAAGAATGTATGGTTGAAAACGAGTAGAAGAATGATAATGAAAAAAATAATGTAGCTCAAACAAGGGCTAACTTTTAGTATTTATTTTCTGCAATTCATTTTTAACTATTCTTGGCTACTTGCAATATTTGAAGTCATGAATAAATTCTGTTTTGGGGCTTAAATTAATAAATAGTTGAAGAAATAGATTGAAAGGTTTATCTGCACAACAACTAGTATAATTGTTCCTTTCCGTAGAGGAAATGCAATATAGTTTGGTACAAGGCATATGTTGGCTTTAGCTGAAAGTGACAATGCGTTTTGGAAAGCAACTTGAAGAATTTGACTAATCTCTTAGCACGGTGTCGATTGGTTCGAGCTAGATAGAAAGAAGTTTGAAACGGTCCAATTATGTTTTGATTTATAGAATATGAAAGGTTCACCATAATAGGTAAAAGTAGTCGGTATCTCTCCCTCAAGAATAGGAAGCAATAATAGAGCAAATTCACCAAAGAAAAATCCGATTTGAGTGTCTTCAAGCAAGATATGTACAATTACACAGCATTGCGGCAACGAAAGGATTATACGTCCCCCATGCCTACGTGGACCCAAAATTTGTATCAGGCCGGGCATGAAACGAGTAGAAACTAACTACGACGGTCCCACTTGCAGAAGCTATTGTTTTCTTATTCAAATTTTGTTTTTTTTTTTTCGTACGCGTGGGTCAGTCTACATGTGCATACCATAGTGGCATGCTCACTGCCTTCGACCTGAATATCAGGCCAACTTTGACACCACTATCATGGTGTGATAAGATTGAATCAAAGAGAAATAATATAACATGAGTCTCGGTTTTTTATTCTTATTGAGTTCAACATACTGAACCAACCATTAACATCTATAGCCCCTCGAGTGGATTCGCATCACTTGCATAATACAATGAATTACAAAATCTAAATCCTTTGGACTTGGTACAGAAACTGCCTAGCCACATTTGCAGAGAGGATTAAGGCCAAGAAATCAAGAAAGTTTATCAACTTTCTTGAATCAACACTAAATAATCACCTTTACCAACTTTATTGACAGCATTTGAGTGTAAAATGAATGGCATTGGATAATCCTCTTTGATTTCTGAAAACAAATTCACCTGATCAATCTTGAATTCTGTTCTGCAACTCTTTAAAAACGTGCAACCAACGACGGTATCTAGGACGACTAGGATTGCGTATAAGTAGGCAATGAAAATGCCCTCGAAGACCATGGATGAATTGGGAAAAACAGCGCTGTTATAAGCTCTTACAACTCGGTATTGAAACAAAGCTTCGATTGAAGCCATGGCTATATTGAAAGGCAGGGTTAATGACAATGCTGTTCCAGTTCGACCCCGTATCAGAAAAAAGGCCTCGAGAATCGTTGTAAATCCCCCGCGCTTCTCCATTCCCGACAACACGATTGCCAAGTTGCATAAGACGAGTGCATTGGCAAGAATTACCGAATAGATAATTATTCCGAGTGCTGAGAGAAGTAGGAAGTGTCTCGGAGAAGAAAGGCCTAATATATCGAAAGAATTGAATGCGATGAGTAGAAGAGAGAAACAAGTAGCATTTGCAGAGAGGATGACTAATGAGTTGCTAATTTGTGTGAGATAAAGGGATTTGAAAAGTTTGTTCCAAGAACAAAAATGCCTATTTTCTTGATAGAAAAGGGCTTTTATTATCAATGCCTTAGCAAAGAGGAGAAAAGTGAGACTAAAGGGGAGTACAAGAAGAAATGTGACAATGGTTTGAGAGAGTTTGAGATTGAGAATATTGAACAAGTCGGACGAGGGAGGGAAGCCTGCAGCGAGGAAAAGGGTTCGTAGGCGGCCATGGACTAATGCGAAAAAGGGAGACGACGGCAAGGAAGCTTGAGACACGAGAGTCGAACCCGCGAAAGGAAAAACCAAGATTGCTGCCGTTGAAGTGAAAAACTGATAGTTTTGCAGAAAAGTGAAGATTGATCTTCTGATAATCCTGCCTGGTTTCTCCATTGGAAAAGAGGAGAATTCTTCCATATGATGTGAAGATGATCTCTCTAGTTTAAATGAATCTTGGAGTGGCGATTTTAATGTATTTTTTTATGGTAGTTTGAAGGTGTTGTAACAATTGATTTGTTGGATAAAATGGTTTGGTCAACAACTAAAAACCAACAGCACCTTAGATGTTGAGTTGTTTTCACCATTATTTTGTCTGTTTGGACACTTTATTTTGTGAACTCCAAACCCCTATATTAGTTAGCAGGCTTGAAAAGAGTACCTTTCCAAGATGATATCATATATTAGTAATAATTTTAAAATAACGTGATTCAAACGTCGCAACAGATACAATTATTGGATAGTTTATGTTATATACTATATACCAGAATATGAACAAGATTTTTTTGCTTCATTTTCTTTCTTTATTGTTAATATTGTCTAGTTTTTCTAATGTTTCCAAAAACGTGCTTTGAAGGTACACAAACGAAAATTACAGAGTTTCTTTAAATCGAAGAAGAATTTATTTAATCAATATTAACGACTTAATAGCTATCTTTGTAAAGTTCATGTGTTTCATTGGTTATATGTTCTATGCATACATGATACATATGCATAAATAAACATGCGCACGCATACATACATACGTTTTACACACTATAAAACACTTCTAAGAAATTAAAATCAATTTATAATATTTATTTTGTGGGTATGTCTTGCTTGCGCATTAAAATAGGTCTTTTAAGATGTCTTGAAATGCACTCTTGGATGCAATAACACTATTATTTTACTTTTGAAATTTTTTCTTTGCTTGTAGGTTAAGTGCTCGACTATTTATTTATTGCCTTTTCTTTTCATTTTTTATAATTTGAGCCAAATAAGAACAAATTTTCATATATAATTTCTAGCTTACTGGGATAATTTCAAGATTCACATGTTTTGGAAGAATTGAAAAATAAAATTTTGGTGTCAAATTATTTCTAGCTATGGGAAATTTTTATAATTTGAGTGAAAAATAATCCATATATTTAAACGATCCACTTGAAATTGAAATATACACGTTTAATTACTAACAATTTCCTCTCTTCTATCTACTATATTCTTATTAAAAAAAACAGAAAAAAAAACACACACACACACTAAAGAGATTGAGCATAGTAGTATCCTCTTCCTTTTCTTGAAGTAATTCTTAAAATTTGCACACTTATCATATCTTTATTAAGGATATTAATTTCCACCATTCACATATACTAATTAATTATAACTTCTAAAAGTCACTTAAAATAAGTAGGAATGTCCATTATAAGTTGAAAGTCTTACCCTCAAAAGAGAATATTATGAATAATGAATGAAAAGGCATCAAATGACACACATATCATGTCATTACAAGTATTAAATCATTATTATTGATGATAAGAAGTTGACATAATGAGGTTGGTATTATCTAAACCTTGAGGTAGGGTCCAAAGTTGAGGTGGTATCTCTTTTTCTATCTCCTTGTTTAGATTGGAAGGAAGTTAGGTTGGAAGATATAAATCAAATGAAACGACAATATTTTGGGTAATGGTTTTTTTTTTTTTTTTTGTATATTCGTATTCATTCATTAGTAAGATATCTGTAAAAAGTATTTTAAATAAACGATGCTATGTAATTGGGATTTTTCTATTTATTATTCTTAGCACGTGAGCGGGAACAAAAGGTATTCGTAATGAAGTTCTAAGCAAGCTGATAAATCAGCGCAAAGGTTTCTCGATTCAAGAAAGGAAAGAGCAAAAGACATTGAAAGAATTGACCTACTACTTGAATTATTTGCTTATAATTATATTCTATAGTTTAAAAAATATGATAAAAAAAAATGTGCAGTTGTCAATAATCATTAATAAATATGCAAACTAATTTTAATATTGAAAATAATCTTAGAAAAAACCCAAACAACAATTGGAGCATTGTTGTTTTTGGATGATTATATAGGACAAATAATTGAATTTGATCAACCGGCAATGCATGTGATATCTCATATGGTATATTAAGCGCTTGTTTGTGAGAGATTTTTGGGGGAAGAATTGATTTTGAATAGTGATATGATGGGAAATGTGTAGTTGAAAAAGAAGAAAAAATTATTGATGCAATGAAAAATATTATTTTATTAAAGAATATGTAGTTGAAAATGAGAATTTTGAGAATCCCTCCCAAACAGGGTCTAACTTGGACAAATAAAGGCATACCAAAAAAATTAACAATTTTGCTTGGTATACATCAAATTTAACATCACGAGTGATATTGTATGACTTGACAGCATTTTGTACATTGATTTTAACAACATTCTTTCCAATCAATTATCAGATTTCCTACAAATTAGGAGGATGTCATCTAAGACGTCAATCATGAATGTACAAGTTGCTTAATTAAAAATTAATTGTTGAAAAATATAGTGTTACAAAAAGGCAATTGTCGTATCAAACGGGTTAATCTTATCGAGGGAGTTAGCATACCTTGTAGAGTGATCCTCATTCGTGTTTGTTTTTTTCTACATAATTAATTTATGTGACTTCACTTTATAATTCAACCATTTTAAATAAATATTTTTTTCAGATAGGAGGCAGAAATCATGTTTCGGATCGAAAAAATACTATGAAACAAAAAATAAAAATTTATTTCTCGACGAGTAGGATTAATCTTAACCATGATTGAGGATTCCAATCCTGTTGAAAAATGAACAATTGAAAATATTTGGTGCAATTATAATGTAAGAGTATTGAAAGTTATAAAGAGTGTTCCAATTTCTTTTAATGAGTAAATTTTATTTGCGAGATTTATATTTTTATTTAGTATCAATTAAGTAATCATACTTCAATTTTGTTCAATTGTGTAACTACACTTTAATTTAATTTCAATCGAATAACTCCGTCCAATTCCGTCACTACAATTGACAAAAAAAAAAATGATGGTCGTTTATCTCAATAAAGTTGTACTTATTTCACATTAGCAACTGAGGGTCCGTTTAATTGTAAATGTGGAAAATGAGTGAAAAGAAAATGTTTTACAGGGAATTGATTTGTTTAGAAATTGTTTTACTGAGAATTGTAATTAATTGTGTTTGATTGATATAATTTTTCATGAAAAATGTTAAAAGTTTGGTGTCAATTTGACTTTTTTTTTTTTTTTTATGAAAATTGTCCATTAAAGTGATAATTTTTTCTACCATTGTGTCTAGAATTTGTTTGAATTGCCAAAAAAAATGAAAAAAAAAAATTAACATGAAGAATATCATTCGTTTGACTTTGTTTTACATGAAAATTGTCAATAAAAGTGATAAACTTTTTTACCATTGTATCTAGAATTTTTTTCAATTGCAAAAAAAAAAAAAAAAAAACTAGAAAATATTTACCAAAAGGGAAAAAATTTTGGAAAGTTGGAAAATATTTTTCTGGAAAAATTTTGCCTAACAAAGTTCAAACACTATAAAAGTTGGAAAATGATTTTCCATTTTATTGACTGTCATCAATTTCTATATATGAAATTGGACAAATTTTCCAGAATTAAATCAAATCAAAGTGTAGTTATATGATTGAAATAAATTAAAGTTACTCAATTGAAAAATTAAAATACAATTATCTAATTAATAATGCTAAGTAAAAGTATTGTTATCGTGAATGCCACATTTTAAGTGTTATTCGTGTCACTCCTTTATTTAATGACATAGATTCTCCGAAATTTTTTCTATCCGCATCATCACAAAAGAATATTTCTAATTTACTATATTACATTAGTAAAACCAAAAATACTAGATGACATGAAATATGTTTACATATACTTCCTCTCTAAAAATAGACCATCGGCTTATTTCACGTTCTCCATTAATGTCATTTCCTGAATTGAATAATCAATTCAAAAAATTGATGATGACAAAAAACAATCATTTTTTAAACAAGTTTCGGATTGTATACACAAACACATGCACCATTGAAATAAATTGAATTTCCAGAAACTATCAAGCGATAATTATATTGAAGCATGAATGCAGATTTTCATACACAAATTCATGGTGTTTTCATTACGATTTTCACATTATCAAAAAAAAAAAAATTCTGAAACATATCCACTTACAGTACATATCCATACACAATTTTTTTTTATTTTTTTTTTTTTATTTTTTTTGTTTAAAAAAAAAAAGAAAAATAAATTGAACAGTAAATCAGCGATTAAAAATAAGATTAGAGAAAAAAATAAGCTTAATTTTCAAATTATTTTCCAAAGGAAAAAGGAGGTTTAAGCATCTATACAAAAGTAATTGATTTAACGGTATATCACTTTCATTGACTAAAACTTGTGTTACTGTCAGTCATTTCAAAATGCTTTTGTGCTCGTTATTCAAATAACTAATAATGTAATTGCAGCAATTAAATTGCTCAATTAAAGTAAAATTGCAATTCCAGCCCCTATATATTTTGTTTGACCTTTTCTCTCGAAAAATTCCTAAAAATTCTGAATTTTTTGAAATTTATGGCTAAAATTCACATCCCAAAATTTAGAAATCCAAAGTATTAATTTCAACCCTTAAAATTATTTCTTGAATTTCAATGATTTAACATGGAATTGGCTTTGATATCACTTGTTGAAACTTTGTGAAACTTTAAATTTATAAAATTAGGAAACCTAATTGCTTATTTCTTGAATCTCCAGGATTTTGACGTCACATGCCGTCTATGATGAAAGCAATGCTTTTCGTTTGACTCAAATTTCATTTTGGCTGCTATGCAATTCAAACAAATGGAAGAATTGAAGACGTGAAATCATTTTTGTCTTTAACCTCGTGAGTTTTCGTTTGACTCAAATTTCGTTTAGGCTGCTAAGCAATTCAAACAAATGGAAGAATAGAAGACGCCAAATCATTTTTGACTTAACGTGTTGCAATTTGATCAAAGCAATAACACGAGATCGTTGAAAATATTAATTACTCAACTAATTGTATTTACAATTAGTCGATTATCATCTCAAATAAAATATTTTATTGGGACTGCAATAATTGTCATTTTTGAGAAGGGGAAACGAAAAATTCACGAGATTCAGTTAAATAAGATAAGTTTGAAGTTAAACGATTATTTAGCTCAGCTCGAAGAAATCGACTATACATACTTTTAATTTCTTTTTATAAGAATAATTTTCTTATAATTATTAAGAAAATAATTATGAAGATTGAGAAGGACAAAATGTAGCATGTGGGCACATGATGATTGCCTTGAGAAATCGGTTCCACCATACCCGCATGATTAATCGCAAACTTCCAATAATTAACTTTTTTCTAATCAATTATTAAAAGGGTGAAGATTTTTTTATGACAAGTGAAAAAGAATATAGAAAATTTAAATAAATCAGCAAATTTGAAAATTTGAGAACATAGTAATTTTTCTTTGAAAAATGATTGAAGTACATAATTTTTTTTAATCAGAAATTTGAATTCTCACTCACATAGAATGGACCCCGTGTATAAAATAATGAAAATAAAAAAATTTCCCTCCAATTGTTGTGTCTATTCTGTAAGTACATGAATTTTGAATTCATGTACTTATAGCAAAGCTCTTTTTCTTTTAACATGTTACACGTAAACCATCTTATATAATTCAATCAAATATTAATATAATCAATTTTTTATTACTAACAAACAATTAGTGCACAAAAATATTGAAAATTAATGGATTTTTTTTTAATAACTTTAGAATTTTATGTAAATAATATTTTATCGAAACGCTCAGGGGTTGTTCTCTTTGTGTTTCAATTTTGTGTTTTGAGTTTTGAATTCATTTTGGATTTTGTGTTTTGAGTGTCCATTTTGAGATTGTTGAAAATGTGTTTTTTTTGGCATTTTGAAAAATTGTTTTGAAAACACCCAAAACGCGTTTTGAAAATTTTAACTTGATTATAACTGAAACCGTCCAAAAAGGCAAATTTGTCGTTTTGAGTTTTCTTTGTAAATTTTTAATTTGTTTTCAAAAATGCATTTTCAAAAATAGAAAAGAGAACGTGTTTTCAATGTTTTGAAAAATTGAAAATAGAAAAATGCTTGAAAATGACAAAGAGAACATATCCTTATTTTCCATATTTTGAGTTTGATAAGAGTTTTCGGTACAGAAAATGCTCGAAAAGTCAAATTGCGTTGCGAGTTTTATGTTATAAATCTTGTTTTCGAAAATACCACACAAAATAAGTTTAAGATGTTTTAAAAACTGAAAATTAAAAACAACTTAATATAACAGTAGTAGACTAAACGCAACTTAACATATAGGTATTGTCTTGTCCTTTTCAATCATTTCCCCCAGCTAATGTTTTCCCCAATTTCAGTTTATAACTTCGTACTTAAATACTTCTTAAGGATTGATGTTAAATTTGATTATAAGTATTGTCGTTGAATAGTGCTTTCTTGCCTGATGAATTTACCACCTTAGATGATATATGCAATGGTGACAGTGAATGATTGATTGAAAAATTGTTTGTTTTTTTAAACTTATCAATGACAGACTCTTATGTGTCATTATGTCCCCAATTTCAGTTTATTACTTCGTACTTAAATACTTATTAAGGATTGATGTTAAATCTGATTATAGGTATTGACGTTGAATAGTGTCTTCTTGTTGATGAATTTACCCCATTGGATGCCATATGAATTGGAGGCAGTGAATGATTGATTGATTGAAAAACTGTTTGTTTTTTTTTTAAACTGATCAATGACAAACTCTCATGTGTCATCATGTCCCCAATTTCAATTTATAACTTCGTACTTGAATACTTCTTAAGAATTGATGTTAAATTTGATTATAGGTATTGTTGTTGAATAGGGCTTTCTTGCCTGATGAATTTACCACATTGGATGACATATGAATTGGTGGCGGTGAATGATTGATTGAAAAATTATTTGATTTTTTAAACTGATCAATTACAGACTCTCATGTGAGATGGTATGATTTTCTACTAATGTAGCAAAGTTGATTGCCGTTAGTCCACATGACACAGTGAACTTCTGGTATGGGGGTGGGGTGATTACACAACAAGCCAGTCAAGCCTCCTATATTTGACCAAATACCTCCCTCGTGTCAATATCCATGTTATTGTCCAAAAACATCGAACCTCGGCCTGCATTTAGGATTCCATCTTCTTTATTTATTTATTTTCCTTTCTTTTTTAAGTCTTTCCCCTTCTACTTTCCCTCGTCACTTTCTCCAGTTCTTAGCCCACAAAAGACACAGATACAATTTTCCCAGCTGCCAAAAACAGTTGGGATTCTCTAAATTAGAGGAGAAAACAATGAGAATTCTAAGATGGATCAAAACTCTTCTCTTCTTGATCACCATGCTAATATCTCTACTCTTATTCTCAGCACCAATTTTTCTAGCCATTGCCGATGCCCTTATTCCGTCGGTCCTGTTATCGACTTCATTTTCTTCCTCAACACTAACCCTACAAACCCTTTCTTCGCATCTAAACAACTACGACTACCGGTACTCGCTCATTGACATTCCTCTCATATCCATCGTTCGATCAGCTATTATATTATGTATGTCCTCACGTCTTTTCTTATCTAGTACTGAATATTAAACATACATTTAGATAAGATGTTCATTCAATTATCGTGCTTTTGTGTATTTGTTTAGGTGTTTATAGTTTTTGTGATGGACCAAAGCTTTCAAGAGGTCCATATTTGGGAATTGCTACCGCATGTTCGGTTTCATCGTTGGTGTTTGTATCATTGAAGGCTTCGTATGTGTTTAGCAGCAATTCGAGGATCGACGGAGGACCGTCTGATCGAGCTATGGAAATGGCTTTGTTCGTTTGTTCATTGGCTATGGCCATGGCGCATGTAGGTGCGGCATACCGGATTAGTTGCAGAGAAAGAAGAAAGCTTCTTGTTTTCAAAATTGATATCGAAGCTGTAAGTCTCAATGCATCCACCCTTTTCTATTTGATTTATCATATGGTAATTAATTGAATGCTTAAGGGGCTTTTGGTCAATTCGCCAAATTTTTAAACACAATTTTACGCATATTTTATTATTTAAAATAGGGTGGGGGAATTTCCAGCCTGCAACTTGCATGGGGTCCACAAGCCTTTTTTTTTTCCTTTTTTTTTTGTGAATAAAATTCTTCTTTGACTTGGCTTCACGTCGCAGGAATTGAATTTGATTATTCCATATGGTCGGCGGAATGTTAACCGTTCGGACAAGTTTTGGATGTTGAAACTAATAAAAAATTTCAAAAATAATTTATAACTTTTCTAACATTTTTTAAAATTTATTTTTTTATTAAACTCATTTTTAACCACATATTTTATTAAATTCATAATGTTTATTAACTTTTCAAACATTCATTTTATCAACTTTATCAAAATTTATTAAAAATCTAATTTTTTGCAAAACTAAACAAGGGCTTTATTTAATCGCACACTTGAAGAATGCGATTATCTCAAAGTTTAGCGTGTATCAACAATTAATTCTAATTTATATTGAATTTTTTCTCGTTTAATTTGACGGTGCATTTTAGATTTTGTTTCTCGGACAAATAGCTTATCCTCCATTTGGGTACAAATATATGGGCATGTCTGGGAGAATTGTAAGCAAGATTTTATGTCCTTTTTTTTTACCGTTGGCAGCCTCCTTTTTTGACTTTTTCCTCACATTAGTTGCACAATAACGATCAAGAAATCAATTTTTTTGACAAAAAATCAGAAACAAACAGCCACTATATAAATTTATTCGGAATCAAACATTAATTTCAACCACAAATCCATATGTCTGATACGTTAAATTAAATTATAGTGAACATCATCAAATTAATTTTGTTTGCTGTACCATTCAAAATATAAAAACATAAACAAAAATATTTAGGAAAGGACAATGGCTAAGTAACATGAAGTCACATGGGTGCAGGTATCCGCATACAAGAATGGATTTCCAAGGTACCAAAAAATAATACAAAAAGGATTGGACAAGTGCAATTCCTAGTTTCTTCGACCAAGTCCAATGTTGAATTTTCCCACACCCAAGTTTCAGGTAATATTTCCATACAAATTCTTTATTTTACAAATATATGTGGTTTTTATTTGTTAGTGAAATATATAATTAATCAAAACTCACTCTTGGTTTTACAGGTTTATCCACAGGTGATTCATGCTGTAGAACAGTAAAATAAGTTCCATTTTTGTACTTAAAAGAGTGTACATACAAATATATGAATAGGTTAATTTGTATTTGTCTCAATACAGAGGTTGGTATAGGAGTTACCACCGTGTTGTGACCCCAAAATGTCAATATATATATAGCTTAATTACTTGTAATGAGCACAAGAATTGCTTAGATGTTTCTACTATTTTTTTCTTTCCGAAATATAAGTATCGAGTCTTGGAGTTGCCTTAAAAGATTGATATGTTGATTATTTATTTTGTCGATTTATGTGATTTACTTCATAAACAATGATCAATAGTCAAGCTTCGTGTTTATTATGCTCTCTCTTTTTTCAAAAAAGATATTGATCAATTCTATTCAATACGACTTACCAGAGTCAGACGCAAACATTTTGAGTTGGGGGCACAATTAAACCATGTTTAGATCAAATAACTTGTTCTTGATTTTTGAATGATTCATAATTAACTCGAGAAAATGAGCAAAGATTTACATTTAAAATATATTCATTCATTAATATTTTGTTCATCATTTTCTTCCATTTGATTTTGAATAGTCATTTTACTAATATTTTGCTCATCACAAGAAAATACATATTTACATTTAAAAAATTTATAGTGCATTTGATATAAACAATCAATTCAAGTAATCAAAAGGAAACAAAAAAAAGAATAATGCTGCAGCAGTCGCTCACTGCAGCAGTTGTCCATGTGGCACACATATGTCAAGTGTGTTGTGGTAAAAAAACTACCACATTAAGACATCAAATAATTACAAGTCATGTGTGTGCCACATAAGGCAACTGCTGTAGTGTGCGACTGCAAGTAGCATTACTCAAAAAAAAACATATAACCAGTATTCAATACTAATAATCAATCAAATAAACATAATTTGTTAAATATAAGTCAAATTTGACATAATCACTTGAAACACATTCTATATACACAATTTGATTGGAGAAAATGCAAATTTAGGTTCTAATTAGTTGAAAATTTAATTGGGAGTGAAGATTGGTAATATATGTGAAAATTTGTAGAGAAATTATATACAAAATTTAAAAAATTAAAAGGATTATATACGCAAGAATCATGTAAAATATTGCAAACCAATTTACAATTTATCCGACAGTTTGTAAAACAGGTAATGAAACGTAAATTATGATAAGTGTACATTTCATGGGTTGCGTCTTATTTGACATTGTGTGGGAATTCAAAAAGTGTCGGGCAGAAAAGTATTTTTTTAAAAAAAACATTGTCTAATCATATGTCGTTACGTGACATGATGTCAAAAGTAATGTAAAAAAGATGTACATGTATCATTATTGTTAAACATATTGTAAGAACAATGGGCCAAAAGATTAAGAAATATTCTGACAGCTTAAGGAATCAGGTTCCATAGCAAAAAGAGATTATGACACTGTTAAATATTATATAAACAAGTTCGTCAAAGATTCAAAGTGATATTTTAACTAGAAGGTAGGTAAGAAAATTTGTTAAGAGCACATAATTTTTAAGTTAGGTTTATGCCACTGTATGGTACAACTGGAAAATTAACTAAAATATAATTTAAAGTTAATAATTAATTTTAACCACTCATTTCACGAAATACACGATTAATCAGTTTTTATCAAAATCTATTAAAAATTTAATTTTTAACTTAACCAAACATGACATGTATGAGTTTTATAAAAGAATAATGTTATTTATCATTACAAATATGGATCATTACTTTATGTAACAATATAGTCGTTGCCAGAAATGTCATTGCACGTTGATTAGTGATGTATATGAAAAGACGACAGACGACATTTTAATATTTAATAGTGATTTTTGTTGATAACATTGAAGAGAACATTGATGAAAAATAAGATTTGTTCAAACAGGGGTGTGCCAGTCAATAGCACCGGCCTGCCCGGATTCGGCCCCTGGCACGGCCGTCTAGAGGCTCATGGCCTGCCGGGTCTAGGGCTCGGCCATAAGTCCATGAAAATTTTATTTAAAACCAGCCGTTTTCTTTCAAGTTTATAAAAATCAGGTTTAAATTTTATTTAATCAAAAATCAGATTTTATCATTTTTAATTAATAATGATATTATAAAATTAAAATAACATGTATACTCACCCTACTACCTACTCCCACCAAATTTATTTTAACTATAAAATCCT